CCCTCCCGGGAGCCCCGGACCGGGCAGACGGCGGGCGGACCGGCCGCTCGCTCCCGTTGCAGCTTCAGCGTCAGAGTTTTCTTTGGAAAGTTGCATTTATTTTCTTCCCTTGTCTCCGCTTCACCGGAAAGGGACGGGATGAGTCACCGCGGCGCGCACAGTCCGGGGCTGGGGAGCCGGGAAGGGGGCCGGCGGCCGGGATGCCGCGGGGTCCCCGGGCTCCGGCCAGCTTGCTTGGGCTGGAGTGCGGGGTTACGGAGGGCGGGAGAGGTGACCGAGCGCTCTCGGACGTTAGTCTTGGGGCCGGGCTCTGGGCAGAGAGTTGAGGCTGGAGTGTGAAGGTGTGTGGGTTCCTCTGCCCCCTGCTCCGCCGCCTCGGTCATCCTTCGGGGCGCGGGGGGAGAAAAGGAGAGGCCCTTTTCTCCGCGCCTCCCGGGGCCCTCAGGTAGGGAAGGTGACAATGCAGAGATCAGCAAACAGGTGTGATGAGATGGTACCTGGGCATCCGCTATGGCTTCTCGGGGCTCTGGGCTTAGGCAGCCGCATGGCCTCCTGGAGAAGCTCCCGGGGACCTGCGGCGTTTCTCCGGAGTGAGAGCCAGTCCTTCCCATAGTCTCCTGTTCCCCTCAAGCGCAGGAACGCCCCTGTGACTTGCTTTTGCCCTTGACCTCTGAATCAGCTTCCATCTTCCTCACAGACACTCTTGACTTGCTCAGCTTTTCCTCCTCCCCCCGGGCTACTCCTGCCACCCTGCTTCCTCCTTTCTCCAGGGGCCAGAGTTGGGGCTAGGGAGGGGTTTGGCACCAGGGGTACCTGGTGAGGACTTGCCCTTCAGCTGTTACACAGACCTGATCCCAGTGGAGCGGACACTAAGAATAGCCCAGCTGCTGTTTTGCTGCCCTGCAGCCTGCAGCCGGGCATAGCCCGTGCCCCGGGGCCCAGAGCCACCCTTATTGCGCTCCTGGAAGCCTTGCTCAGGGGTGGGGGTGAGGCCCTGGGGGGCCTCTGGCTGCCTTTCCTGATGCACCTAGCAGATCTCCTTTCAGAACGAGACAGCCTTGCTGTGGGGCTCACCTGCCCAAGGCTTGGGGAGTGGACTGGCACAATGGGATAGGGAGGGGAGAGCCCAGGAGGGACAGGCTGGAAGGGAAGCCTGGGGAAATGCACAGAGCAGCTTCTCCTAGGGAGGGAGTGCCCCGGTATTTGAGGTCACAGGCCCTTCTGTTGGATGGGTCCCATCCCCTCATTCCTCCCTTATCTCCTCCCCCCAGGCCTGTCATAGAGCCAGGACTCTGTTTTTCTAAAAGTGCTCAGAAAAATGGAGCTTGAGTCAGCAGGATGAGTCTGAAGAGAAAAATACAGCTGTGGCTGAATGTACAGCTGTGGACATACAAGCCCCAGTTGGAGTATGTGTGTGGGGTGTGTGAGGGGAAGTTTCCCTGGGTACTCATGCAGGGTGTGGTGAACTCCCCTGTCCCTCCTGGCTCTCGGGTTATCCCGGAGGGGGCGGGGGAGGAGGAACCGCTCAGTGATTCTTGGTGGCCCACCCAGGTCCTTCCAGGCCACTAGGTGGTGGCGGGATGGTGTGGCGTCCCCCCTCTCAGCCTGGGCAGGGCTCTGGAGGAACAAGGCAGAAGGGTGGGGATGGTCTGAGGACTCGGAAGGTGAGATTAAGTACTATCATTTGGACCATTAGAGCCCGACAACACAGCATTATGGGTAAGGACCTAGATGGGCAGAAAGACAGGCTTTCTATCCTGGCTGTTCTACTCGCTGTGGAATGTTGGGCAAGTTACTGAACGTCTTCAAAGCCTCCGTATCCCTGGCTGCACAATGGAGCTGATAATAATAATGATAATACGTTACAGCTCTTTTTTAAATTAATTAATCAATTTATTTAGGTAAGCTCTACACCCAATTTGGGGCTCAAACTCAGGACCCCGAGATCAAGAGTTGCATGCTCTTCCGGGGCCAGGTGCCCTGTACCTTTTTTTGTTTCTTAAATATAAATAGCTGATTGTATGTGTAATATGTAAAATATGAAAAGTGTAGAGCTTTATTAAATCATGCATACAGAGCACTGGACTTTGTGCCTTAGGTAATAAGTGGTCAATAAACGTTAGCTAGTACTTACTGTGTCTATCACCCAGGACCGAATGGACAGCAGCCCCTAGCCTGGGACTCTCTGCTTGGGTTCTGCTCTTGTATCTTTGGGAGCAAGGTCTCCCGGACCTTGGGGAGTCTGCATGACTAGTGAATAGACTGGCCTCCAGCACCCAGGTGCCCGAATTTCAACCCCATTTCCTCTTGCACAAGTTACCTCACTTCTCTGTGCTTCACCTTCCTCCACTATAAGATGAGGATAATAGTACCCACCTCACCGTATTGTGAGGATTAAAGGAGCAGATGCAGGTGAAGCTCAAGCACAGCAGGGGTGTGTAAAAAGAGCCTGATCAATGTCAGCGGCTGTTATTTGGTGACAATGGAGGCGGTCTTTGTGGTTTATGCTTAGAAACCAGAGTTTCTGAGCCGGGGAATTAGACCATATGTAACTATATGTAAACTGTGAATGACCTACTTGGTGTTGAACCTGTGGTCTAGTGCAAAGAACACACCAGGACTGGACATCCTGGTCTCTCCTCCCTCAATACTGTGTGTGACTTGTTTTTTAATCAGTCCAGAAACCCATGCCCTGCCTGTCTCCTCAAGGTGGAAGAGAATACCAGGAGGTAATAGAGGTGAATATGTATCTTGAAAGATTAAGAGGCTTCTATGCAGAAGGGTTATTTGCTGTGATTTTTAGGGAAACTATATGAGGAGGAGGGGGCATACTGAAGTCGGGGGTCTGCTCTGTCTGCCCCCCCACCCCCACCCCTCCGCCCCAGCCCTTGGGCTGCATTGCTTTCTGATAGCCAGAAGAAAAACCCAGCCTGGCTTTCTTTGAATAGTCAGAGGCCCTGTTTGCTGGACAGCAAGGACAGAGGCTGGACCAGTTGGTACCAGGCCCAGCATCTCGAATGCTGATGGCACTTGACCCCCAGCATCAGAGCTGCCGTGTGGAGCTTTGTCTAGTGTATTAAGTGTCCCTGCTGGGGGGGCGAGGGCTGACCGAGCCATCACGGGATGGTCCTGATATCTGGCCAGAACTTCCTGTTTAATCCCTTTTCCTACTATGAGGTCTGTGTTTCCTCCTCCATGGGAAGAAGTCCAGTTTTGCCACTGACCCTGAATGACTTGTAGGGCTTCTCGCCTCTTATATCGGAGACGGGCCTGCCTCACCTGTTGGCCGTGGTGTCTGAGTCTGTAAAATGGAGAGGATGGTATTTTCACCTTGCAAGGTTACAGTGAGGATTACATGAGATAGGCATGTTTTGCAAAGTGCCTGCACAGGCCAGGTGCTCAGTGCGTGGTTGTTCCCTTCTTCTTTGTTAATTCTGGAGACCACTCTCTCTGGGAAGCTGGGATGAGCCAGCAAGAAAGGGGTTGGAGACCAGCCTCTGGTCCCCTGGACCCTCAGTCACCAATTTCAGGCCAGACCCAATGCCCAGCCGGATAGTTGCCCTCAGGAGCAGCCAGCCAGAGACAAGTCCCTCCTTCCCGAATGCTCTTTGTTATGTCTCACCCCAACCTCTAATCTCGAGTATCCTTTGAGCTGGCACAAATAGTTTCCGAGCTGGAACCACACAACCCATCCCTAGGGATGTGACAATCTAGTTTCCCACTCCTGGCGCTGGAAAGAGCTGAGCACCCAGTTACCTCGAGTGTGGCCCTGCCTGGATCCCTGGCAGGCTGGTCACGTTGCATCAGACCGGAATCCTGATTCAGCCTCGCCTGGAAAGTCTTCTGTTGAGCACTCGCCCTTCTAGGTCCTGGACGGGGACTGTGGTCCTTGCCTTCCGGGAGCTGAGGGCTAGTGGGGCAGGGGGGTGGGGAAAGAGGCCAGAAGGACCACTGGCAGTATGCAACCCTGAGGGCTGCCTGTTGAGCGCAGCAAGATTTGGAGGAAAGAGGGGATCCTTTTTTTTTTTTTTTAATATTGTATCTATTTATTTGACAGAGAGAGAGCACAAGGAGGGGGAGCGGCAGGCAGAAGGAGAGGGAGAAGCAGGCTCCCCAGTGAGCAAGGAGCTGGATGCAAGGCTTGAGACCTGAGCCGAAGACAGCGCTTAACCGACTGAGCCACCCGGGCATCCCTGAAAGGGGGGATCCTTGACGGCTTGGGTTCTAGGGAGCCCTAGAGGAGATACGGGACTTGAGCTGGACAGGGATCAGGGGAATGAGGAGGCATCCGGAGGAAGTAACTGGAGCATGGCAATACTTGGGAAGGAAAATCAGGTCCAGCACTGATAAATTCCCCCATCTTGGGGCCAGATCTGAGATCGAAACTCATTGGCATGATTTGGGGTCTGGTGTTCTTTCCACCATGCCTCACCGGGGAGGGGCCAGAAGGAGAGGGAGGTGTGTGTAGAAGTGCCAGGCTCCAGTGGCTGTGCTTTGTGGATATTTGCCCTTTTCTGCATAGTTTCGACCTGCTCAAGGTTCCGCAACATGGCTTCTTCCTCCAGGAACCCCTGGGAGAGCTGATCATGCCCTACACCTTAGGCCCGCAACTCTAGGGACTTATGTCTTAGCACTGCCAAAGGGGGCTGCAGGCATTATCTCCACATCCCCAGCACCTTCACGGTGGGCTTGCCCGCAATTGGATCTCAGCGAGTGTTGGATGGGTGGGTGGGTGAGTGAGTGAGCGAGTTAGTTTTAGAGCTCTTTGACATTCCTTTGGGGGAGCTTAGGTTGCATGCACTGAGGCATACTTCCTCCAAGGGTGGGCAAACTAGGACTCTTTAATAAAAGAGTCCTTTTTTGAAACCCCTTGCACCCTGCTCACTACTGAGTGACTGGGGTTTTGAGAACACATTTCCATAGGGCTGGCTCTGGCTCAGAGCCCTCTGATGATAAATAGAACTGGTCACAGACCGTAGGATATCAGGGCTGAAAGGGCCCGAGAGACCCTTGAATTCGAGACCTTAGAGGTGGGACATCGCAGAGCTAGGACCAGCATCCTGCTCCTACTCTCAGCCCGAGGTTCTGCTCATCGGTAGGTCTGTCCAGACCCTCCATCCCCTGCCTCTTTTCTGTGTGCTTGCACCTCCTAAGGGAGGCCAGTCTGCAGGAAGGGGGCAAGGGTTGGCTGTGCAGGATGGGGAGAGCTGCCCGGCCTGGCTGACTGGCAAAGTTCAAATTCACTAGGAGGGAGGCTGTTCAGGTTTCACTTCACAGGGGCGGTAGGAACTGAGAAGGCAGCAGGGGGAGAGAACTTTCCAGCAGCCTGGAGGCTGTGCCAAGCTCCCCATTCTCCTGCCCACCCTGGACCAAGGGATTTCTTGGTACCGCTACCCCACTTTGTAGGGAACCCTTTATTGTGGCCCAAGTAGAGAAAGAATTTACCAATTTCTGCCCGGAAATTGGAGTCCAGTTCTGGGAGGGAGTAGGGAAGAGGGCAACTCTGCCCTCAGATGTCTTGGTTACTTGGCTCGGTTTCAGGGGGCCACTAACCCCTGGCACTCTGTTGTACTTCAGCAGTGTGTTGGCAGGTGGAGGATGGGGTAAGTGCACCTGGGGAGCCCTTCTCTACCTGGTTCCCCGGGGCCTCTCTATCATAGAAGGCTATGAAACCCCCCTCCCCAGTGCCATGTGGCCTTGGCAGTGAGCACTTAGTAGGCACCTGTCCAGGGAGAGCACTGTACCTGAGGCTGGGGGAGGGAGTGGGGTGGGGGGGCAGGTGGGTGTGAGATCACTTAGCTGTACGGTTGTAAAGAACCTTAGACGGTATGTAGGCTAGTTCTCATCTTACATGTGTGAGTCCATGGTAGGGGTGTGTGTGTGCGTGTGCGTGTGTAAAACGGCTTGTCCAGGCTCCACAGCAGCAAAAGCCACTGGAACTGGACTGGACTGTCCTGGTTCCCAGTTCAGAGCACTTGGCAGCATTTTTGAACGGTTGGAATTGGAGAGAGAGGTATGTCAGGTATCCAGCTCACGCCAGATACCTTCTGGACAGTTAACGGGTGTCAGCCACTATGATTCCTGTCCCTGGGGGTGGGACCCGCCGTTGTCTCAGAACCGTGGGAGGTAGATTCCACCCTCCACTGGGTGCCTCAGCCCCTGGGCAGGTCCCCGCAGTGACCTCTCCTCACCTGTTGGGGCCAGCACCTGGGGAAGCATTTACATTCCTGGCATTCCTCTTGCCTCCGGGGGCGGGGCGCCAAAGGGGCGAGAGTGCTGGTGTGGGCGGCTCGAGGGTGTGGGGAATGCTACCGGAGAAGAAAGGCCGCTAGCCGCCCCCCTCTAATCTCTGCTGCTGCTGTTTGGGATGGAGAGAGCCCTCTGCCAGGTTTCTGGGCTGGGGAGGGGCCGCCAGGAACTTGCGCAAGCTGTCTCCAGGGGGTGGATCGTATTCATTTCCGTGTCCTCGCCTGGCAAATGGGTGTACTCGTGGTACCCGCCTCATGCGGGATCGGGAGGGCCCCTACCCAGGTCACCTGAGTGGGGGAGTTGGCACACGCAGACCCGGATCGGGCTGCCACCACCAGGGGCTCGCTGCTGAACCCGCCAGGGTGAAGAGGCTGGTGGCCCCTGGGGTAGAAGAGAGCTCCAGGGTGAAGAGGGCACTTGGTTCGGAGGGCACTTGGTCAAGGTGACCCAGTGTGACCTTGGGTCGCCACTGTTCTCAGAAAGGAAGTCTGGGAGGTCACCGCCCGGAGTCAGATGTGTGTCACTATGGGATTGCCAGGTGACCCCTTGGGAAGGTGCTTCACCTCCACTTAGGCCGGCCAAGGTGAGGGTCAGACCAGCCCCAGAACTCCGGTCACTGGATTGCAGAGGGGTGGGGAGAAGAGAGTGGGCTCCTGGGGACTGCCCGCCCCGCCCTTTCCCCTCCCCTCCCCCCAACCTCTTCACATTTGTTTCCTTTCAGAAGCTGGGCTGGAGCTCTCAGACAGGGCAACAAAAGCAACTTTCCTCCAAGCCACTGCCACCTGTTGGGTTTTCACACATTGGGGGTGAGTGGGGGGAGGGAGCCATTGCCCCTTTCCCAGTGTCTGCGGTGTGCCCCCTCTGCCCCCCAGGGCCTGGGATTCTCTGTGCTGCCCGAAGTGACAGGGCTCAGGAGCCGGAGGGGGTGGGGGGCCTGCGGCAGCTGGAAGGGGAATTGAGTGGGAAGAGGCCGGTGCTGGCGGCCGGGAGAGAGTTTGATGGATTACTCTGCAGGCCCAGAGGTTTCTCCCTAATCCCCCTTTGTGTCTGGGCCTGCAGCCCCCTCACTCTCTCTGACAAGCTGCTAAGCAGAAGGCTTCCAGTCCGAGTGAAGAAAAGGCAGCGCAGCAGGGCGAACTCCAAATCCCTGGCCTCTGGGCCCTGGGGGAGGCAGCAGCTAGGGAGCGAGTCTGGGGTGGGGGCGGGGGTGGGGTCCTCCTCCCCTCTGTCCAGCCCTTCTTCTTTCTGACAGTTCCCTCGAGGTGGAGAGGCTGCATTCTGAGCAGAGTGTTCAGGTGTCTGGGGGAGCCCTGCAAAGCGTGGGCCTGGGGTATTTCTGCAGATCACTGCCTTTTTTACAGCGTGGCGTGGCGGGGAGAGCAGACCCTCACTTCTTTGGAAGTTTGAGCCCGAGAATCAAAGACTGAATGTGGGTAGGAAGGCACAAACCGGGCGCAGTCTCCTCCTGTGCGCATCCCCCCGCCCCCCCCAGGTGCCCAGGTCCCCGACCCCCTCCGACCGGGGGCTGTAATGGGAGTGACTGCCTCACAAGGATGCTCCTTTTCAGGTCTCCTGGCTGGCCAGCACTGCCTCTTTCTGGGGCGCCCCAGGGCCCCACGAGGGCAGAGCTCATTTCGGGAGTGCAGTGTGCTAGGTTTCACCGCGTAAGGCCAAGGACATTGGTCCTCTGGGACTGAGGCAAGGGGTTGGGTCACAGGGATGCGGGGCTGGTGAGCCCTCAGCCCTCTTCCCTGCCCCCAACCTAGAGGGCCTGGGGAGAGCTCAACGTGGCATGAGATCCTAGGATCCAGGCCGGTGTGGAGGAATGGGGGTCCCCCCCCTTTCTGCAGCCTCGTAGCCTCCACCTGGGGGTTTCTCCTCACCCGCCCTCCTGGCAGCCTCCCGTGGGGTGTGTGTTGGGGAGATTGGCCAAGAGTGACCCCACCCCCTTTCTGCAGCTGAGTCATTATTCCTGGAGGGAACCCCCCCACCCGGTTTCCTTCTCTGCGGGAGGGGCCGCCTGGGGGCTGTGAAGGGTAGAGGAGCGTGTGAGAAAGCCGGGCCAGCTTTGTGAGTGTGGAGGGAGGACGCAGGGTCGCCGAGCTGCTGGGGTCAGGGTGGGGGCCGCGGCGTTTGATGTGCCTGGGCGGGGTGGGGGGGACGCCGGCCTGCATAAAGAGCCCATAGAATTGCTGCCTGACACTGGCCCGCGGCGGGGCTGCCCCCAGCCCGGCTCCTCCGGCCTCTGTCTGTCAGCAGAGGGAATCCGCTCCCCCCAGCTCCACCTCGGGCGTGAGGGTGGCAGCCGCCCCTTTGAAAGCCCTCAAAGGCCTCTTTATGCGTCCCTCTGACCCTCCCTTCCCGTAGGGAGCTACCAGAAGTGGGCTCTCGCCTTTCCTCCCACCTCCTTCACTCGGTCTTTTGAATTTTGGAGAATGTTCAGGCCAAGTTTGTTCTCGCTGCTCAGTTTCATTGCCCCGTGCTCGCCTGTGGCCTAACCCAACGTGGGGCATCCTGGCCCGAAGGCCTGTGCCGTCCCCTCACCACCTTTGAAACTTCAGGAGTTGCCCCCTCTGGGGGTCTGGCCAGGGTTTCCCGAGTGGGGGTGGGGATGGGAGCCCCTTCGGTCTTTCCCATCTCTTCCACCGCCCACCCCCACCCCCACGCTGCTTTCAGCCACGCATTCTATGGGTAGACGTTTCCCAGGCCCCTCGCGCGAGGGTGGGCGCTGGAGGGTTGGGAGGGTTGCCCACAGGGCTCCTGCTCTCTGGGGCTGGGCTCGCTGACCGGGCCCAGTGTGCTTGGGTTCTGCTCCCCGGGGATGAGGAAAGATGGCCTGGGGCAGAGCTCCATGGAGGTTCCTGGAGGACTTGGGTTTCTTCCAGCCTTCTTGCTGTCCTGTCATTGGAGGACAGATACTTGGAACTTGAGAGGGACTTGTCCTCCCCAAGGCTGCTGTCTTTGCGGGAGGTCAGGCCACACTCCCCGCTTTCGGTACCTCCACTTCCCTACCAGGTGAGCCCCTGGAGGCCGGCTCTTCAGGTTGATCTTCTGTTTGCCAGACAGGCCAAGTGCTCTGGGAGCAGTGGGACAGGAGGATTTGAGTCAGAAGCTCCTCTGACAGCGGAGGGTACTGAGGTGACTTGAGCTCGGTTGGCTGCATCCCTGAGGAAGACAAGGGGGTGCCCCCAAATGGGTGCGGGCAGTCATCCGTCACTTAGAGGCTTTGGTGGGCAGCGTGCCCCCAGACTGCAGGAGGGAGTGGTGGCCACGAAGGGGTGTGGGGTGTGGGAACCGCTTGCTCCCCCGCCCCTCTGGGCCTGGGCACCGGGCAGGGCGTGGGCTTCTGTGATCGCACCCCGAGGTGCCGGCAGGTGGCCGGTTAGCGCTGTGGGTGTCCTTTGTGGTGCCTTCCCCCTTGAGGACCCCAGAGTGGGGATGTCGTGGGTGAGACTGGGGCTCTGGGGAAGGTCCGGGAGTGCGGGACTTCCTTGGGCAGTTCTGGGCTGGGAAGAATCCACTCTAGGGGTGGCAAGAGGGCCCTGGACCTTGGGGCACAGTAGAAGTCAAAAGAGGGAGGACGGGCTTAGCAACCTAAGAAGAGAGGGGCACCGAGCTGGGCTTGGAGCCTGCCCACCTCCTTCCCAACTCCTTTCAGTGAATTCTTCACCTGGCCCAGCCCCCAGTTACCTGGTACAGCAGCCGGGGAGGGGGCAGGGGGACGGCGGGAGAGAGAGGCAGCTAATGGGCTATCTGGACTGAAGGAGGATGAAGGGAAATTCCTCTCTTCACCCCCTTTCGTCTTCTTGTCTTTCTCATGGGCTAAGGAGGGTGTCCTGCCTCTTCCTGGGAGCAGGGGGCTGGGCTAGGGAAGCGAAGGAGGCAGGGGGGTGATGAGTGTTTTGCTGCAGAGCTCCAATTCACTTGAAACCACAGGGTGCAACAGGAGTTTGGGAATGTGGGCAGGTTGTGGGTGAGTCTGGGTCTGACAGTCTGTTTGCTCAGGGAGGATCTGGTTGCTTTACCCACAGCAGGTGAGTGTCTAGGGCCTTGCCAGACTGAGGGTGGGGAGTAGAATGGGCTGGAAGCCTTTTGACCCAGAACCCCTCCCTCCAGGCTGGAGAGTACCCTTATCTTGGTCTGTGTGCATGCTCCTGCCTTCCTTGTGGGGGATGCTGTGGCAGGGGAGGGGCTTGGCTCAGACTGACGTGTGGCCCCCTCCCAGCCCCTTTAGGGGCCCCGTGGGCCAGTATTTTACACTCCTCCCCATGCCACCCCCATAGGAGTCCATGCCCTTTCCCAAAGTGGATGGTCTGGGTCTGAGCAGAACTTTGGGGAGGAGGCTGCTGGTTGCCCAGCCTTCCTTTCTGGTCTGCCAGCTGCAAAGGCTTGGAAAGTGGTTATGGGACAAACACATCTTACCCTGGATTGGTGGCCATCTGATTTCTCTGTGCCATATTTCAGAGAGCACCTACCACATGCTTTGTAGCACACAAGGCCCTGGGAGGCTGAGTGTTACTTGAAAAGAAGTTGAAGTGGCGGATGATGAGATGCTGAGATTGGAGGGGAGTGAAGGAGGGCTGAGGGTGCCGGGTGGGGGAGGGGCCAGGGATGGGGGCCCTCTGGACTGTGGGCCATGCCCTTGAGCAGTGCCCTTCCACGCATTTATGGGTGTGAAGGCAGTCCAGACTCCAGCCAGGAGTGGCATGAAGCTCTGTCGTCACGTCTTTGGGATGAATGACAAGTTAGGGGACTCTTGCCTTTTCTCACGAAGGCCCACCTTCTATACTCCTCTTCGTGGCTGACTTGATTTTCCCTCTTTTGTGGTCACCCCTAAACAGAGCAAACTGTGTTGGGTCCTGTTGTCAGGAAGCAAGACCTGGATGCCGATTGCCTGGGGGTGGGGGGCGCAGGGTGGGGGCTCCCCCAGTCGGATCTCTATGCACAGGAGGCAGGCCTAGCAGGGAGGGCCGCGGGGACTTCTCTGCTGAGAATGGAGCCGTTTGGGGAGCAGAGAAAGGCTGCCGGGAAAGTGGTGGGGCCTCCTGCCAGCCCCGGGTCACCGGGGTCATTACGGTTGCCACCAGCTGGTGCCGTTTTGTGCCCCTGTGAGGCAGGGACCTGGGAACAGGCCCCACCATCCCGTGACACTTGGGCAGTACACGTGGGAATGTTTCCTCCCCACGAACGTTGAGCGCGGAGAGAAACTCCAGGGAGAGGTTTGCAGGCCGAGGTTCCTCCAGGCGAGCCCTCTTTAAGTGGTTTCAGTGACAGGTTAAAACCCAACCCAACAAACAAACCACAGCCTCCCCGCCCTCCCCCCCTTGTCCTTGTCCTTGGGGGCTCGGGTTCTGGTGGCTTGGGTTCTGGTGCAACATGGCTTGTGGCCAGGCAGCGCCGCATAGGAAGTGCTACTCCTAACAAAGGGGAATTGAACAGCCCAGCTTTGGGACGTGGAGAGAGGAAGCAAACACACCAGGCCTGGCAGAGGGTCTCCAGGGGCACCTTGATAACAGGGCCTGGGGAACTGGGAATTCAGGTGGTTTGATTTTTCTTTTTTTTCCCCCCTACCAGCAGGCAAGGGCAATGGCAAAGATATTCCAAAACAGAGAAAAACGGACATCTGTTTGGCTCTGGAGTGTGCTGAGGTTTAGAAATCATATTTACCTTATTAGTTATGTCAGCCTTAGGCTAATATTAACATGCATTTCCTGATTGGCAGTAAGGGGTGGCACGGTCGTCAGCCTGGGAGTGAACAGGATTCAGAGAACTCAGCGCGAATCCTGGAGGCCTGGTTGCCAGGATTTCACAGGCTGGGTTTGATTGTCCCTGTCCTCCCAGGATCCCAGGGATGAGCTATGTCCCCACCGAGGCAGCCCGCGACCACCAGCGTTTAGCGCGGGCTGAGGAGCCCGACCTGCACGGGAGGCTGGCAGACATGGGCTCCCAGCCGAGGCTGGGGCGGTTGGTGGCGGCGAGGAGGAGAGGCCCGGGCGTCCGGAGCGGGGCTGAGCATCGGCAGCTGTGGAGCGAGTGAGGCCCGCCATGGCGCAGAGGCTGTGGGCCGGCCGCCTGCTGCGGCATCGGAAAGCCCAGCTGCTGCTGGTCAACCTGCTGACCTTCGGCCTGGAGGTGTGCCTGGCCGCCGGCATCACGTACGTGCCGCCCTTGCTGCTGGAAGTGGGGGTCGAGGAGAAGTTCATGACCATGGTGCTGGGTGAGTCGCCACATCCTCCTTCCCTCCTGCTCCAGAGCCACGACACCCAGGAGGCAGGGCCACAGTGCCTCTGCCCAAAGCGGGAGAGGTGGCTGCCGCCCTTCCGGAGCCCGTGGAGCCGGCGGGTGGGCACTGCTGGGCGGAGGGGGCGCGGTGGGCTGGGGCGGGGCAGGGGCGCCGCCCAACAGGGAAAGAGCACAGGGACAGTCCGTGGTCACCTCCATACCCCAGACCCCTGCACGATGCCGGGCGCATGGGAGACACTGCTCTTCACCTTTGTCCGGCCCGTTCTAATTTCTGTTACTCGTTTAATCCTTGCAACAGCCTTTGGGGTCCCCCGTCTCACAGAAGAGGTCCTGGAGGCCAATGAGCGGTTGGGTGACTTAGCCAGGCTGGAGGGCTAGCTACTGATTACTAGGATCGGGGTCTCCCAGCCAGGGCTCTTTCTTACCCCTAGGGCCCGGAGTGGGCCCCTGACTGCAGATGTGTTCTGCAAAAGCCACAGAAGGCAAGTGGTCACCCTGGGGTGGCTCCCAGGATCACAGGCTCTGGGGTCGGACTGCCTGTTGAAACTCTGCCTCTTGCCCCCCACCCCCACCTGGGTGCCTGTGCTCAAGGCTCACTTACCAGTTGTTTGGTGCATCAGTTTGCCCATCTTAAGCTGGGGCGTTAGTGATCCTAGCTGTGAGGACTAAACTAGAGTCTGTGATATACTCTGCACTGTTTCCAGCACGGAGGGGGGTCCTGCATGGGACAGGATCGTGGTCATTTCCGTCCTTGTCCAGGAGCTTGGTCCCCCTTCCCCACGGCCCCTCTGGCTCATACGACGTGTCCTTCCTGCAGGCATCGGTCCAGTGCTGGGCCTCGTCTCGGTCCCACTCCTAGGCTCGGCCAGTGACCACTGGCGTGGGCGCTATGGTCGCCGAAGGCCCTTCATCTGGGCCCTGTCCCTGGGCGTCCTGCTGAGCCTCTTCCTCATCCCGAGGGCCGGCTGGCTGGCGGGGCTGCTGTGCCCGGACACCAGGCCCCTGGAGCTGGCCCTGCTGATCCTGGGGGTGGGGCTGCTGGACTTCTGCGGCCAGGTTTGCTTCACCCCGCTGGAGGCCCTGCTCTCTGACCTCTTCCGGGACCCAGACCACTGTCGCCAGGCCTTCTCCGTCTATGCCTTCATGATCAGCCTCGGGGGCTGCCTGGGCTACCTCCTGCCTGCAATCGACTGGGACGCCAGTGCCCTGGCCCCCTACCTGGGCACCCAGGAAGAGTGCCTCTTTGGCCTGCTCACCCTCATCTTCCTCACCTGTGTGGCGGCCACACTGTTCGTGGCCGAGGAGGCAGTGCTGGGTCCGGCCGAGGTGGCGGAAGGGCTGGTGGTCCCCTCGGGGCCACACTGCTGGCCGTGCCGCACCCGCCTGGCTTTCCGGAACCTGGGCGCCCTCTTTCCCCGGCTGCACCAGCTCTGCTGCCGTGTGCCTCGCACCCTGCGCAGACTCTTCGTGGCCGAGCTGTGCAGCTGGATGGCGTTCATGACCTTCACGCTCTTCTACACGGACTTTGTAGGCGAGGGGCTGTACCAGGGGGTGCCCCGGGCCGAGCCGGGCACCGAGGCCCGGAGACACTATGATGAAGGTAAGGCCTCAGCAGCGGTGGGGGGGGGCGCTGTGAGAGATCCCCGCCCCCCCCCGGGGACAGCCCGCCGTGTGTGCCGGCCTGTAGCTGTGCGTCTGGGTTCCCGATTTCCCTGTCAGGACAATGGGCCCCGTCTCCACAGAGCCTTGGGCCGCGGAGAGTTTGCTCAGAGTCATTGCCCCCATTTGCCAGAAGAAAAGGCTAAGCTTAGTTGAGGAACAGGGGGAGTAGGGCAGTCAGGGCCGGGTCTCCGGTCCGCCTGGCCCCAACTTCAGTGTGCCTTCTGCACCCGCTGTTGACTCGCCACGTTCCCGGGCCAGACCTTCAGCTCAGGCCGTCCCGAGCTCTGTCCCGGGGCCCACGGCAGAGCTGTCTTGGTGTTCCCTCACACCCTCTTAGAGAGCCGAGCACTAGGCCAGGCCCCCCAAAAAAGCCCATAGAACGTCTTCTTGTGCCCTTAGCCAGAGGCTTTGGCCACGTCGTCTAAGGGCAGTGGAAGAGCCTCGGCTCGGGCTGCTGCAGCCGGATGGGGATGATGCGGGCGAGCAGCTCTGGTCCACACAGCGAGGCTTGGACGGCAGGTGCCCCCGGTTCTGAGCCCTCTCCGGGTGTATCGGGCCTCTTCCTGCTCCGGGGCTGACTTCCTCTTCTACCCCACCCCGCAGGGGTCCGGATGGGCAGCCTGGGGCTCTTCCTGCAGTGCGCCATCTCCCTGCTCTTCTCTCTGGTCATGGACCGGCTGGTGCAGCGATTCGGCACCCGGGCCGTCTACCTGGCCAGCGTGGCGGCCTTCCCTGTTGCTGCCGGCACCATGTGCCTGTCGCGCAGCGTGGCCGTGGTGACCGCGTCGGCCGCCCTCACCGGCTTCACCTTCTCGGCCCTGCAGATCCTGCCCTACACGCTAGCCTCCCTCTACCACCGCGAGAAGCAGGTACTCACACTGGCCGCTGGGTGGAGCGGGGGTGGAGGGGAGACGGAGGAGCCCCGAACGGATCGGTTGTCGGGCCAGAGACGTATGGGAGAAGTCATTCTTTGATGCGAGAGGAAGCCCATGTAGCCCAGGGCCAGAGACGTGGGCTGCGGAAGGAGGATGTAGATTAGATTCTGGGAATGACTTCCTGGTGTCAGGACTATAAAGCACTTGAGTGGATGATTGCAGGAAATGCTAAAATCCTTCTTTGGGAATCCTGAAGAATCAGGCTAGCGGAAGCCCTCAGTCTGGGCTGGGTGGTTCTAGGCAGAGGCGGGGCGTGGGGAGGGGATGGGGGGGTGGGGCTGGGTCCGATGACCTCTGGGGCACCTGGCTTCAGCAGCCGGTGAGTGGGGGTGGTCTGGTGTCGGCGACAGCTCTCTTTATTCAGGGAGGGGCATTGTGACCGACCCCTGTGCTGCTTTGTTCTCCAAGATGGGGAAGGCTCCTCACTACCCCTTCTCTTTCTGGTTTATCTTCTTTTTCTGCCTAATTCTCTCTTTTCTTTTCCTGCCTCACACCTTTGCCTCCGTCCCCTTCCCCCGCCCCCACGGCGGATCTCTGAGCCTGACGCGCCTGACACCGCTCGCCTGGCCACTGTAAGTTGGGGGCCTCCTTCCTGCTTGGCCCCACACCAGCCAGCCCCTCCGGGGGCCCCGTTCTGTGGGCAGCCTCCTGACCAAAGCTGTGTAGTCGCCCTTGTGCCCTTCGCTGGCCTCAGTGAGCTCAGCCCTGGGTCCAGAGCTCTGCCCGGAGGGTAAGAGGTTGGGGTGTCCTGAGGGAGGAGACGCAGGCCTGCCCTCAGAGAGCTTGCAAACAATAGGGAGGATGTGGCTGCCCCTTGGAGGGCATGAGTGATGTAGCAGAGAAATAGCTAGCTAGGAGGTGGGTAATTGAATAGGTAGCTGCAGGGGTGGGGGGTGTGGAGGGAGGGGCCAGGGTTTTGGTTGGGGTAGTCTGGTCCCCGAGGCCCCTGTCAGCACACTGATAACCTTCATCAGCCTCCATTCTGGTGCCGCCCCGGCTGGGGGCTTGGGGGCTGGTGTCCAGAGGCCAGGCGTGGGCATACCCACTCGCTTCGGGGAGCGTGGCCGGACAGGTCCTCCCCTCGGACTGCCGAGCTTGTCTAGCCCTAGGGGCCTCTTGAGGGGGTGGCAGGCAGGGAGGACAGGGCCTGGGAGGCCCACTGGTGGCACACTTGGCCCCGTACACAGTGTGTACTTGCCTTGCCTCCTTCTGGCTGCACCAAGAGCTGTAGGCTTCCCTTCTGAGCTCCACCACAGGTCCCAGTTCTAGCGTAGCCAACTCAAGAGCCCTTCCATGTGGGGCACTAGCAGGCACAGGGATGGGGGGATGAATTCTGGCCCTATCCTGAAATAGGGGCTTCTGGGCAGGGGCAGGCTACCCTGATCTAAGGCATATAGTGAGTAGGAAGTAAGAAGGGCTTCAACATTAGCACAGCTAGGCTAAAGGAGTCTGGAAGATTCTTCTCGCTCCTCTCTTCCTCCAGGCTGAGTCCTGTGGGCCTTCCCTGCCCTCATTCTGGGGCCATGGACCTCACAGTAGGGGCCTGGGACCTCAGTAAGAGCAGAGCCTCTCTCTGCGAGGTTGAGGCGGCTCTCCCAGGGCGAAGTGGTGGTGGGGGGGGGCAGGAAGTAGGAGGGTTAAGAGAGCCTGTGTGGGGGTTTGGGCCATCAGGGGCCCCAGCTTTGGATTTTGTTCCTCTGTTCTTACACATCTCTCTTCTCACCTGTCTTCATTCTGTCTTCTTCCTTTACCTTGCGGTTCTGTTCTCTTCCTGACCTGCAGTCGGAGTTTGTCTGCCACTTACTGCTTCCAGCAGAGGCTAGAGGAGACCTAGACTTCTGAATTCAGATCTGTCCCCTCCCCATCCCCTGCCCCTGTGGGGCGTCCTAACTAGACCCGGACCAAGGAGGGTCTGCTTGGTTTTCTGACCTGCTGCACAGTTGTCATGCAGGCCCGTTGCCTGGTTTCTTCCAGCCCCCGGCGTGAATGCCAGGGGCTGTTCTCAGAGCTGGGGGGTCCTATGCTTGGATTCCTACCTATCCTTGTCCCCCCCTCCCAGGTTTTCCTGCCCAAATACCGAGGAGATGCCGGGAGCAGTACCGGCGCGGACAGCCTGACGCCCAGCTTTCCACCGGGCCCCAAGACCGGATCCCCCTTCCCCAACGGACACATGGGGGCTGGAGGTAGCAGCCTCCTCCCTTCTCCTCCTGTGCTGTGTGGGGCCCCCACCTGCGACAGCTCCATACGTGTGGTGGTGGGCGAGCCGCCTGAGGCCAGGGTCATTCCGGGCCGGGGCATCTGCCTGGACCTCGCCATCCTGGACAGTGCCTTCCTGCTGTCCCAGGTGGCCCCGTCCCTGTTTATGGGCTCCATTGTTCAGCTCAGCCAGTCTGTCACTGCCTACATGGTGTCGGCCGCGGGCCTTGGTTTGGTGGCCATTTATTTTGCTACACAGGTGGTATTTGATAAGAGCGACTTGGCCAAATACTCGGTGTAGAGTCCTTTCTGGCCCACTGAGGGAGGGTCGCAGGCCCTCCCCCACCCCCTCTCCGGCTCAGGGGCCTCCCAGCCTTCCAGTTTCTGTTGCTGCCAAAGTGGTGTGGCTCTCTGCTGCCACCGCGTGGTGGTGAGGTGCAGAGCTGCGCAGGTCGGGGCCTGGGGCTTCTCTCTCTCTCTCTCTCTCTCTCTCTCTCTCTCTCTCTCTCTCTCTCCAGTCTTCAGGGCTGGCTGACTGTTGGTCCAGACAGGCTTCAGTCTGGACTTCTACAGGGAGGCCAGAAGGGTAGGGCATTTCATTAGCTCCATGCACTGGAATGCAGGACGCTGCAGGGGGATTACCCAGGCAGGGTTAACAGCTAGTGTCCTGGTCAAGACTTAGCCAGAGAAGGGATTTGGAGAGCGAGTAACCTCAACCATCTGGTGTCTCACCTCCAAGCCCCCTTATCCTATAGATTCCCTCCATGTTGCTCTTGCATGGAAGTTTCTAGTGTGAAACTCCGCAGGATTTGAGAATATGAAAGTTATTTGTGGGTAAGAGTCCGGTGGAGAGAGAGGAAGCCCCCTGGCCGCATAGCAGCACAGCACCGCCTTTCTCCCATCCCCCCACAACTACGTTTTAGCAGGACATGGCTTGTTGGCCACTGTGTTGCCATCATAGGGACACAGGCCTTTAAATATTTAACTTATTTATTTAACTAAGTAGAGGGGTATCAATTCCCAGCTCTGCCATCTCGGTGTCTAAGAGGTGAGATCCCCGGTGGGCCCCGGGAGATGGCTGGTTTATTGGGCTGAGCAGTGCCAGAATCGTCTTCCCTTGGGTGATTGGTCTGGTCCCAAAACTGCCTAACCGAGGAGCTTGGAAGCTCTGCTTACCCAGCTGATATCCCAAATCCTGTTACCCAAGGCGGGGGGAGCTGGGGGTAAGTGGAGGGTGGGGCTCCAGGTCTCAGCAGCCTCCCTAGCCTCCCCTCCTCTCTTCGCCCAGCCTGCCCCCCACCCCCACTCCCCTCTGCTCTCTCTAAGGGCAGGGCTGATGAAGGAGCTGCCCACCCCCCACCTTTCCCTACCTGGCTCCACAGGGAGACTGGGGCTGTTGCAGGACCAGAAAGAAGCACGGAATGTGGCTCCTTGAGCTCTTATCCGTCTCCGCCCCCAGGGCATACCTGTGCTTGGGGAATCTCGCACAGAAACTCAGGAGTACCCCCTGCCTGGGCTAAGGAAGTCTTATCTCTGGGGGGTTTAAGTGCCGTTTGCAATAATGTTATGTCTTATTTATTTAGTGGAGTAAATATTTTATACTGTATGTGAGCAATCAGAGTATAATGTTTATGGTGATGAAATTAAAGGCTTCTTATATGTTTCTTTGGCTTGTGTTTATCTTTCCTGATGGGGAAGGCTCAGATCTCTCTCAAATTACCCTCAGCTTCCTTCTCAATAGGGACCCTGTTTGGGCAGTTTCAGTTCCCAGTGTCACCAGCAGATGGAGCCATAGACCAGTACTCGTCCAATGTTTGGCGATTGGGCTTGGATGTGCTACCCCTTGGATTAGAGAGTTTGTTTGGGAATTTGGGGGTAGGGGGGCAGGAAAAACACGGAGTGTAGGAGAGTGGGGACATTTTCCTTCTCAAAGGGCTCACAATGTGGCCAAAAAGCTGGAACAAGCACCCTCGATCAACTACAGCAATACGAAGTAGGAAGGAACCTGGCACGTGTAGGCTAGGATTTCAACATCACTGAGCCTTGGTTCCTGTCTCCTTCACCCTTCCTGCCAGGCTTAGGTCAGATTCAGAGTGTTCCCTGCCATGCCACCTCGCTCACCCTTCCAGACTTGGCTGGCCTTCCCATTCCGGATTCTTGTGGTCCATACAGTTAACACCATGTGCAGGACTAGCTTTTTATTTGGGGCACCTGCCTGGCTCAGTGGTTAGAGCATGTGACTCCTGATCTTGGGGTCGGGAGTTTGCGCTCCACACTGGGTGCAGAGATTACTTAAATAAATTAAAAAAAAAATTTTTTTTAAAGGACTAGCTTTATTTTTAAAATGTTCTATATTTTGGGTGCCTGGGTGGCTCAGTTGGTTAAGCGACTGCCTTCAGCTCAGGTCATGATCCTGGAGTCCCAGGATCGAGTCCCGCATCGGGCTCCTTGCTCGGCAGGGAGCCTGCTTCTCCCTCTGACCCTCCCCCCTCTCATGTACTCTCTCATTCTCTCTCTCTCAAATAAATAAATAAAATCTTTAAAAAAAAAAGTTCTATATTTTATTCTAAATAAATACAATCTTTAAAAAGGTGGGGGGTGCCTGGGTGGCTCAGTCAGTTGGGCGTCTGACTTCGGCTCAGGTCATGATCTCAGGGTCCTGGAGCTCAGCGGGGGGTCTGCTTGTCCCTCTCTTCCTCCCCCCCGACCCCCCCCCAGTTTGTGCTCTCTCAAATAAATAAATAAAATCTTTAAAATGTTCTATATTTGGGCACCTGGGTGGCTCAGTCGTTAAGCGTCTGCCTTCGGCTCAGGTCATGATCCCAGGGTCCTGGGATCGAGTCCCACATCGGGCTCCCTGCTCGGCGGGAAGCCTGCTTCTCCCTCTCCCACTCCCCCTGCTTGTGTTCCTGCTCTCGCTATCTCTCTGTCAAATAAATAAATAAAATCTTTAAAAAAAAAATGTTCTATATTTAACTTTTTATTATGGAAAATTTCAAACATAGATGAATAATGAGCCTGGTACAATGAACCCAATTTTAACAATTACTAACATTCTGCCATTTTATCTACTCTCCCTCCCCACTGTTAAATTGTTAAAGCATATGGCAGACACAATTTCATTTCACCTGTAAATACTTCAGCGTGTGTTTTAAGAAGTAGGACTTTTTAGCAACTTAATCACAGTACCATGAACATATCCAACAAACAGCAATTCCTTATTATCACTGATTACCCAATCCATATATAATTTTCTCCAATTGCTCAAAAAATGGCATTTCACAGTTGGTTTGTTCAAATCAAGATCCAACCAAGATAAATCGTGTCTAGCGGCCATGTCTCTGGTTTCTTTTCAACTTTAACAATTTCCCTCTTTTTATTTATTTATTTACTTATTTATTTTTTGCCATGCATTTGTGAAGAAAGAGTCATGTTTTCCTCCAGAATTGCCCATATTCTATATCGGGTTACTGTATCCTCAGTGTTATTGAAGATGTTCCTCTTTCTCTCCTTTTTTCCCTTTGAGCTGGTGACAAGATCCAGAGGCTTGATTAGATTCAGATTTGATTGTCCCATCATAAGGACACAGGCCTTTAAATATTTAACTCATTTAACAATAGCTCTCTATACTCCTACATAATTTTGAAGCAGATTTCATTCCATTCATTCATACTTCATTCTTGAGTACTTCAGAATGGTTTTTTTTTTAAGATTTTATTTATTTATTTTAGAGAGAGAGTGAGAAAGAGCATAAGAGGGGAGATGATCAGAGGGTGAAGCAGACTCCCCATTGAGCAGGGAGCCCGATGCGGGACTCGATCCCGGGACTCCAGGATCATGACCTGAGCCGAAGGCAGTCGCTTAACCAGCTGAGCCACCCAGGCGCCCTCAGAAGGTTTTTCTACAAGATAAGGACTTTCAAACAAAAAATACATAGCCACATTACTATGATCAGACCAAAAAATAATTTCTTAGTGTAATCAAACATCTAGTGTTCACATTTCCCTGTCCCATAATTTTGTATAGTTTTTGCTCAAATTGGAACCTAAATAAGTTCCAGATGTTCCAGTTGGTTGATGTGTCTCCTAGATCTCTCGTAATCCGCAGGTACCTCCGCAGTTTTCATTTTTTTTCCTTGTCATTTGTTAAAGAAACTGGGTTGTTTTCCTATAGATCATCTACATTTTGCAGATTACATTCCCAGAGTGACATGTCACATGTTACTGCCCCTGTATTTTCTGTAAATTGGAAATTAAAGTCAGAGACCAGATCAGATTTGATTTGTTAGTTTTTGTAAGAATACCTAATAGATGTGTGTACTTCCTTAGAAGGGAGCACGTAATGTCTGCTTGTCTTTCTTTTTTGATGTTAGTAGTCACTGATATCTTTACTTATACCCATTATCTCATAGGCAGTGGAAAATTATATTTCTTCAAAAAGTGCTTGACTCTTTCCTTGTATTTACCAGTTTTCAAAATAATGAATGGATTCCCTAACTTCCCTGATGATGCCGGAGAGGTCTGTTCCCTTAGTGTCATTATGTGTTAATGGATTTAGACATATTTGATGTGCTTTGGTCCTTTGCAGATGTTATTCATGCCTGTATCACTCCTACTGTCGGCCAGTGGGAGCCTCTTCAAGTTGATTTCTTTTTTTTTTTAAGATTTTTTTTTAATTTATTTATTTGACACAGAGAGAGAGAGAGTGAGAGAGAGAGAGCACAAGCAGGGTGAGCAGCAGGCAGAGGGAGAGGGAGAAGCAGGCTCTCCGCTGAGCAGGGAGCCCGATGTGGGGCTCGATCCCAGGACTCTGGGACCATGACCTGAGCCGAAGGCAGACGCTTAACAACTGAGCCACCCAGGCGCCCCCAAGTTGATTTCTGAGTCCTTTTGACACCATCTTATTTGGTCCTTGAGAGCTTCTTTGCTTTCGGGCATGACTAGATGTCCAGGCTTATCTTGTGTATTTCCTGCTACAGACTCGGAAGGAGCTATTTCTTCTAAGGGTCTCTGATTGCTTTTTGTGGGGTAAGGTTTTTAGAGATAAGATCTGCTACAGGGGTGCCCATTACTGGGTATGTCACTGGATTTAGGCCTTTCCAGTGGATAAAGCTGGGAAATTTTTTTAAAACGTAAACACATTGCGAGTTTATACTGATACTTCCAATTCAATTTCAAGACTGTAAACACACACACACACAGAGTTTACTTCTCTAATTTCTCTCACACTGGAACAGGCCTGGCCCAGAGGCTTTTAGTGTCTGCTTGTGTGTGTGGGATGTGGGAAAAAGCAAATAAGAACCACCAGTCAACCATCAATGTCAGCCTGTCTGCCGCCAGAATATTGAACCTGGCCCACTGGGCCGGTAGCCCTCCCCCTCGCTGGTACAAACCGTTTCGGAGTACGCCAGAGGAGACGGGGAACGCTCGGGGAACAGGAAGCCGGGGCTCACCCAGGCTTTTCTAACACAGGCTTTTGATGTCTGGGACCAGCTACGCTAGCTCACGGGCACTGGGGCCTTGTGTTGGTAGTTCCTCAGGTTTTAAGCTACATTCCTCATGGAAACACCAATTTGCTAAGGACAGGGGAGGAGAGAAGCAGGAAGAAAGGGGACTCTGGAGAGGAGGAGGAGGCTGCCAGTAGCCTCAAAGACCTCACAACGAAGGAACATGCTAGGGAGTCCTGTCCACGTGGGGTCTCAGACAAGCGCAGTCTAGCTTGTGCCCTTAAAGACCATTGAGGGGCACCTGGGTGGCTCGGTCGGTCCCAGGATCCAGGGATCGAGCCCCGCGGCGGGCTCCCTACTCAGTGGGGAGCCTGCTTCCCCCATCTCCCTCTGCCTGCCGCTCCCCCTGCTTATGCTCTCCCTGTCAAATAAATAAATAAATAAATAGATAATCTTTTAAGAAAAAAAAGAAGACCCCTGAATTTAGGTGAGAAGAACAAGCATCTGTGAATCAAATGTACCAATATGTATGAGGCAGGGTATGAGTGGAAAATGCAGAGCAGAAACCGGAGAGTCTAGAGGAGGGGAAAATAAGATCTCTTCTGTGGTCGAGAGAGGAAGGGTTGGACTACTCCACAGCCTGTTCTGGCCCCATCAGGCTGGACCCTGCCCATCTCCCAGAGAGAGATGGAGCCCGGGTCCTAGCTTGTGGTTTGAGCCTAGGAATCGGAGAAAGGGGGACGGGGGTGGGGTTGGCTCAGGGGTGCCCCATCCTTTGTACCTTCGCGGGTCTTCTTTCCAGCCTGGGGTGCCTGTGGTTGCTGGGCCAGGTATAGTGGGATGGGGAAGCAGGAGGAGTGGAGTGGGGAACAGCCGGTGGGCAGCTGGGGTCTCGGCTTACTTGTGCGTTTGGGGAAAAAACCCTTGGTTTCCAGGGTCCGATTTGATTACAGCAACCTGGCCGTCTCGTCAGCACTGGCTGGAGGACCATTTGAGGCAGGGACTTTCTGACACCCAGCACTGTCACTGGATGTCTGCACACATTAGGAGGCATGCCCTGGTGACAGGGTCGCCTGACCCCGGTCTGCCCCTTACCGGCATTTGACCTCTCCATCATTCTGTGCCCGGTGCCTCCACTGCCCCAGAAACTTTTGAGCACTTTATGGTCCCCAGGTAATGTTCTCTCCTCCTTTTCATCAAATAGTATTTGTCCACCTT